AAAATGTTCGAATATACTGCGTCCTTTAAACATATATCATATTAAAGCTTATTTTATGTACTATAAAATGATGGAACGCAAGCGTAAAAGTCCTCAATGTCTCTTCTTTAGAGACAGTTCAGGTAATTCAAAGCGTAATTCAAAATTATAGTTTTTAAATTAAGTATGAAATTGTGAGGCCAGCTATGATGTATGGTTCATAGTGATGGGACGTTAAGTAAAGTAGAGCAGAGAATAAGTGTTGCAGAGATGAGATTGCTTAGTTGGATGAGTGGATTGACTAGAGAAGATAAAATAAGGAACAAGTATATAAGAGTGAGTATAGGTGTAATTGAAGAAGGATGTCATTGGATGTGATTATATCACATTATGAGGATGGCTGATGTAAACGTAGATGATGTGGGAGATCGTGTCAAGTGGAAGTTTAGGATAAGGGTGGGTGATCCCAAGTAGTTGGGATTAAGGCAAGGAAAAGGAAGAAGATTACCAGAAATTCCGATGGCAATTAACATAATATGATTGTTGTTTGGGAATGTACAATTTAGCGTTTAGTTGTGTTTATACAATATAGCGTCAAATTAATTACCTACTCTATCGGTTGTATATTAATATACAATACACTTTAATGATACAATAAATAAACAAACTCACACATACACACATATGCATTTATAACATTGTGTCTAATGTAAGTATAGCATGATAAAATTAACCGTAAAATGAAAAAAATGGAAAATAAATTTTAGTACTCAAATTAAATGTAATGTAACTCGAAAAATATTTGTTTAAATGATTATTAATATATTAAAACTAAGAAAATCGACATATTTAACTTATTTTTTTTATCCTTTAAAGTTGATTTTTGTGAAAGTTAATAACTAAAAAAAAAATGATTTATTACAATAACTTTTAGCAAAATAATTTGCAAGTTTGAAATTGACATCATTAAATTAGATGATTTAAATTTATGAGAATTAAAAAAATTGTACCGTTAAGATTAATATGCAGTCAGAAAGTTTTATATTTACTATTTATTGTAAATTTATCAGAAAAGCTCAATATTTTTTTGCAGTTTTATCGTAGTAGATAACTTAAATAGAAGTAATAGTAATCATTTCCTAGTAACTTTAACTAAATGAACCAATCAAAATAAAGTTGTTAAAAAGATTTACTCAATTGAGCGTAATATAAAATTTGATTATAATTGTAAAAATCCATCGTTAAATTCAGGTAAAACTAAAAATCATTTTTTTTTAAATTTATGATTTATATAGTAAGATGTTACCAAAAAATTTGGAATGTTATAAACTGGTAGTAGCACACACAAATAGAGTTAAAAAATTAATAAATTACAAAGTAAAATTATTTACTTTTGTAGTTGAATACTTTTATCATATCAAATCTAATAAAAAATAATATCAAATGAAAGGAAATTATCTAAGGTTTCAATATAAAAAATATTATTTCGATTTGTAAATATATGAAAAGGTATAGCAGTTTTAAGTACAAAAAACATCACGATTGAACGTGATTTTTATCGCAAACAATACATTTTTTTTTTTAATTTCGACAGCCATTTGCACATAGAAGATAAGGTGTCGGGACAAATTTTTTTTTTTCATTTTATAGTACATAAAATAAGCTTTAATATGATATATGTTTAAAGGACGCAGTATATTCGAACATTTTAAAATTAAGTTGAAAAAGTTAGTTTTTGTAAAAAAGTTGCAATTTTAAATCCCCCTCTAATGAGCAGGTTAAGTGTTACATTTTCAAAAAAAATGATATCAAATGAAAAGAAAATATCTAAAGTTTTAATATAAAAATAATTATGTTGTTTTGTTAATTGAAGAAGTTATGAAAGTTTTAAGAAACAAAAGTGAAAAAAATGACAAAATTCACCAACTTTTAAATTTATAATTTTTTTGGATATTTCCCACCTTTGCGGAAAACGAGGGAAAATTTTTCAATTTTTAAGGGTAATGACTTCAACTAGATACGATTTTTGATTTTGACGTATTGTTGAAAGAAATTGTTCCAGTGAGAGCTGAGAAAAAGTTGTAAAAAAGAAAAAACATATCATGGCAAAAATAATACCTTCTCAGGTTCGCATCGAAGCTAAAAAATGTATTAATTTTCATGTAAATAATATATTCCAATTACATTTCTAATTCATGAAAAGATATTGAAATAAAAATAACATAAATAAATATGAGTTTAAAATATTTCACAATGATATTAACTAGTAAAATTAGTTTAATCTAAATTTTATTTTATTTAATGAACAATTTTTATTGCTGCAATCGTCCCTGACGTAATACTTTTAAATTTAACATCTAAAAAAATAAACTATATTTAAAATTTTTCAGTGTTTACACAGAAATAAAAAAAAATTTAATATTGTGTTAGATCCTTGTTCGGGAATAGATTTAATCCTAGTTGAGTATTTTTGTATTTTGTGGTCATTAATACAGTGTCTTCAGGTTTGCAATCTGAATTAATATCCCAATCCCAGTACTGATCATTGTCTAAAACAGCATAATTTAGTTTTGATTTCATTAATTCTTGACAATTTAAGAATTGTTTTCTTTGTGTTTTGTTGAATAAATTTATGCAACATAAATATTATCAAAGAGACGTCTAAAATGTATTACAAAAGTGACAATTTTAGGAATATTTAGTTTAATATTAAACAAACTAAATTTTTCTATATAATCTACGTTATTCTAAAATTCTAAAATTCTATCCCAAATTTCTATTTGAAACAAACAAAATCTATCTACAAATGTTAATCCAACGCTTTCGATTACATTTAGATAGTGAGTATAACATTGTATAATATTAGTATTGTTTTTAAGACACGGTTTAATGATATATCTCCTAATTTTTTACCAACTGTCCCGTTAATAGGTACAGGAACATCGATTTATTTTTTTTGCGTCCATGTCCAAGGTTTATTACATTCTCTTGGGTTGAATAAATCAGACGATACAACATCGGGATTGTCTAATATAGTATTTTCATTGTAAGGCATAGGACAACGAGCTATATCTTTTCCTTTATAATAATCTTGTTTTTGTAATTTCAACTGTATAAATGCAGGATATTCTCTGATGAGTATATTCAAATCGTTAATAGTTATAGATGTTTGATTTTCAGTATACTGTCTAAATTCATCATTTGTATAAACAATCATTACATTTGAAATGATTATTTCTAGTAAAATAATATGTATTTTGCTATAATNTCATTACATTTGAAATGATTATTTCTAGTAAAATAATATGTATTTTGCTATAATAGTTCATTTTCACCTGTTAATTAAAGTTATTCAGGCTTTAGTACAGCAACTAATTACTATAAAA